TGAGTGAGTCCAGCATGGTCACCCTTGAGGGCATTGCTCCAGACTCCTGTGTTCAGGGTTCCCAGGTATGGGACATGCTGCATGAAATGCATGCTGTGAAAGCACTACAGAGGGACTGATCCCACAGCCAGTTTGCAAAGACAAAGGCTGGCTTTTGTGAGGGTCATAAGCACCAGGTCTGTAACTTTAATGCTTGCTGGAGGCACTCCAAAATCCACACTGACCTCACTGTCCCTGTTTGAGTGCCTCAGCATCTGCCTTTGGCGAGTGCTGAGCACCTCATGTGGCCCAATGGCCTTAGCCACATCTGTGCCTGTCTACCCAAAGAAACTGGCCTGGCCACACGTGCAGTAGTACCTGGTGTGGTGCAGGCTGATGCAGGTGAGGGTGTGGGTTTGCAGCACCCCAAGAAACCCTGGGCACAACTGCCCTGCAGCTGGGATGCTGTGGGGAGAGCAGACAGGCAGCCACTGTGAGGGAGTCCTTCATCCAGTGTGTCTTTGGGCAGCGGTGATCGCCCTGTTCTGCAGACAATACGATATCATCAAGGATAATGACTCCAACAACAACAAGGAGAAGACAAAGCCCTCCTCAGAGCACAGCACGCCAGAGCGACCGAGTGGAGGGCTGCTGCGGAGCAAGGTGAGTGGGGACAACTGGCAGCAGGGGTGGCACGTGGTGTCTGCTGGGGCTTGCACCCTGCACAGAGTCTGGCTCTCTCCAGAAATGGAAACACCCTGGCTGGTGCTCTCACCCCAAAGACTGAAGACTTTTTAGGGTTCGGTGAGCCCTGGCCAGTGTGTGTGCCCCATGGGTGATTGCAGGTGTAACGGCTAGGATAGCTCTTGCACTGCAGGTGGTACCTGACCTCTGACTGTAATGGAGCCTTCATCATGCCCCTCCAAGGCTGCACCTCTCCTGCACAGGTGGACAAATGGACGTGCTAGGCAGCTGTTCTCATGGTTCCTGCACTGGTCTGTCATTGCTCCCTTTATGCCTTCACTGCAGCTGGCTCTTGGTCATCACCACACAAGTCATTCCAGAGCCCCTTCCTCACCCTGATGGAGTGCTGTGCTAGGCTGTGGATGGGGAGGGAGCAGTACCTTCATCTGGCTGTTCCCTCAGCACCTGACATTTCTCCCTTTGTTACCTGCTGAAGACAGTGATTTATAGCCCCAGTGCTCTAATGGGACCATATGTTAGGGGTTTTCTTGTGCCTCATCTGCTGCCTCTGTCAAGGGTGAGAACTCTCCTCCCTACGTTGACTGACTGCCCCACTGATTCCACAGCTTGGTTTCCATCAGATGTCAGGAGTGGAAACTTCCTGTTTGGACTTCCAGTCCCCAGTTCCCCTCGTCCAGATTTTTCAGCTTGCTGATTACCCCTTGACAGGGTAATCTTCCTTTTGGATCCCTACTCCAAACTGACCCTACTCTGCTGAGGTCTGCTGGTCCTGATGCCTGCTGCAGGTTGAGGGGCTCTGACATCGGGTTTGATCCCAAGGGTGCAACAAAGCAGGGTCTTAAATCAGATTTTTCTCTCACAGAAGAAATCTCCCTCTGTCAATATCATTGAGGTGTAAGTGCAACACCAGCTCTGCCATCTGGGATCTTAGGTGTCCTGCCAGAGCCACAGCAGGCCTTGGAAGAAGAGGCAGCACCAGGCGCGCCGCCTGGAACTCAGCATGCGATGATCCACGTACCAGAACTCCCGCTTTCCTGAGGGCACCTGTCTGCGGACACGCATGGAGCCAGCTCCCGAGCCATGCATGCCGAGCGTGCCCTGCCCATCCCACACCTGGCCCTCCTTCCCTCCCAGGGGGAAGCATGACTTGAGGATGGGTAGGGGCCACACCAGCAGCTAGGGTGGGAGGGAGCCAAGGGGAGGCAATGGGCTGAGGCCGTGGCCTGAGGGGAGGCCATGTCCCTGTGCAGCACCTTGGCCAAGGCCCGGGATGCAGCTGTGGCACTGGGTGCCTGCCCGGCATCAGGACCAGACCGTGCTCTCGGCTGCCCATTTGGCCTTGGGGTTGCTTGCAGAGAGCAGGAGCTGGTCCCCTCAGGGCCCCAGGGCTGCAGGAGCAGGGCAGTGCAGGCACTGCCCCAGCACTGCCAGGAGAGCTGTGGCCAGGTAGGAAGATTTGTCAGTGGGGCTGGGCCCAGCCAGCACAGGGGATGAGTGGATTGCTGCTGGAGAACAGGCTCCACTGTACCCTGTCATGGCTGTGCAAATTCTCTGCCTACCGCAGAGGATGAAGACACGAGGGGCGATGAGGTGCCAGTGCTGTCACAGTGCCTGGCCAGCCCGCAGAACCTGCAGCAGGGCAGGGAGTGCTCATGGAACCCCCGCAGGGCTGGGGGAGCGGGCAGGGTCAGGGCATGGCTGTGGCTGTGCTATGTCCCCAGAAGGGCTCAGTGCTGGCACATTCCTCCCCTCAAACAGCTGCCAAGAACTTTCTGAGCAGCACAGTGCCTGTGCTGCCTGGAGGAGACAATGTGGTGAGGCCTGCAAGGTCTCTGTTGGAGAGAACGGGGTGAAACAAGGAGGCTCCCTGCTGCTCTGGCTGCTGCTCTCTCTCCATGCTCTGCTCTGCAGCCTGCCACAGACAGGCTTTGCAGCCCTGGACTCAAGCATCACAGGATCCAGTGTCTTCCAGGAATAAATCTCCCAGTAAAAGCACTTTCAAGACTTTTCCTTCCAGGTGCTGCTCAGCTCCTGCTGCAGGACTAGATGGGGAAGGGACAGGATAAGCAACTCCTGTGGCAGGGTCTTTTCAATAAAAGCATCCTGGCTCAAAGACAGCATCAGAGCTTCAGGTCTCTCTGTGTGTCCATGCATGCATGTACAAGTTCTTGAATGCACATGTTCTGGCCCGTAGGAGATGTGTTCCTGCATGCTGTGCAAGAGCTGGAGGTGTTCCATGGTCACCTCACACCTCTCTGGTCCTTGAGGGAGAGGTGCTGCTGCTGCTGCAGGCTATCCCACTGAGGGTGATGTCGTGGCTGCTTTTCTGCAGAGAGCAGACACATCCCAGCAGCAGGGCCAAGAAGGGGGACAGGGTCTGACAGGCTGCTGGCCAGAGGGGCCTGGGCTGCTCCCTGCTCAGGTGAGGAGAGGGGTACCTGAGGAGCAACGGCACCATGGCAGTGGGATGCAGCTGCTGCTGGGCTGTGACCTGGGCTGCAAGGAGCATGACCACAGCTTCAGAGACAAAACACCTTGCTTTGCCTGCTTGCTCTTTTTAAGGAGGTACATGAGAAAAACTAGGGCTGTCAGGAAAATACAAGAGTTTTAAGAATGTTCTAGTGCCATGGAAAATGTTTAGAAGTTTTGTCTTGGAAAGTCATAGCAGACATGCCTGCTATCATGAGATTTTTAGCCAGGCTAGAGGCACACACAAAGAATCAACGGATCGGACTCTGTAGCAGAGGTGAGGACCTAGGGAAGATGCAAAAAAAAAGTCAAAATGCAGAGGTTTTGACGAAATAAAAGAACACAAGTCTGACATTAAATGTAAAAACAGGGTGTGTTGTTGAGGAAAAAGCTCTTTCCCTCTGAAAAAAAAAAAAAAAATCCCAAAACCCAAAAAACCCAAACCAAACAAAGTCACTGCTTCTTCTCAGACTATAGCGATGCAGGAGGGCAGGGAAGTGCAGAGTTGAGTGCTGAAGTTGAGGGCCTGACAATGACCTGCTCACCCTAGCAAGTTACATAATGCTCTGTACTCCCAGCTGAGGGAGAAAAGCCATGAAACTACATTCAATATGCAAAACCTCAAGTGAAAAAAACCACTCAGCTCCTGAGTGATCCATGGAACCCCAGGCCTCCCCAGTGCCTACGGCACTTGCTGGGAGACTGGCCCTGGCACCCCAGCTGCAGCCAGCCATCAGTGCTCAGCTGGGCTGAGCTGGGCTCTCAGTGCCACCAGCCTGAGAAGGACAGCTGTGCAGAAATGTGACAGGAACCCAGCAATGAGGGGCTTGGCCGGAACACAGCTGCAAGCTGCCACTTGCCAAAGAAACCAGACATGCTGCAGCCTCCCTTTTCCATGAAGGGAGGATACCAAGTGCATGGCTTGTCTGTAGAGCACAGCTGGGGTGCAGCAGGGCAGAGACACTTCAGAGCAGCTGGCTCACAAGGTTTGTGTCTGCCCTGGTCTCAGCGTGGTCAGCATCAGCTTCTATCAGTGCAGGTGACATTCACAGGTGCTCAAGACACCAGTACAGCACAGCCTGAACCTGCTCTTCCCAAGTCACAAAGGCACCCTGGGCCCTGGCAGCCCTCAGCTCAAGGATGAATTGCTCCCTCAGGGCTCGCAGCCAAGGAAGATGTGGGAGTTCAGGCTCCATGAGCTTGGAGCACAGCAATCCTCACCACAGGCAGTGCAGGAGACACAGTACCCTGCATGCTTATGCATGGCGCCCATCCAGCATTCAAACCCAAATGACAATAGTAAAAAACAGTTTATTTCTCTCTAAAGGCAGAGTTTTCCTTTAAAAACCAGGTCATTTCACTTGTGAGAGGCCGTGGGGCTGAACTGCAGGGGAAAGGCTTGCTCCAGGCCAAGAGCTGTTGCTCCCTGAGGGTGTACACTGCCTGCATCAGGCAGGCTCAGAGCACGCACGGCAGCCCTGCACGGCCTGGCAGTGAGCAGAGCGAGGAGCATGGGTCCCCTGGCCCAAGTTGGGAGCAGCTGCAGCTCGAGGCAGTTCATGCAGGCGGCACAGGACAAGGAGCAGGTGCTGCAGCCTGTGCGCTCCATGGCAGCAGTGCCAGCAGCCCCTGGTGCCAGGAGGGCAGTGCCAGGGCAGGGCAGGCAGTGGCTGGCCTAGGTGCAGGCACAGGGTGAATCCTGAGTGGCTGGTCCATTGTTGCAGAGATTTGGCTTAGCCCAGGGGAGTCTTGGGGCCAGCAGTCCTGGTGCCAGTGCTGGGGGAGTCTCCAGCCCCTCCCAGCACGGTCCAGCTGTCCGGGGGCGGCCCCAGGCGGTAGCACAGTAGCTGTGCTGTAGGAGAGCTCGATGGGGGCACAAGAGGTGTTAATTCTGAAAAGGGAGAGAAAGGAAGACATGGAGCATAAAGTGCACAGCTGGAAGCTCAGCACAGCCTGCGAGGGGAAGCAGATGTTCCAGGTGAGCATCAGCCCCCACCCCGCCTTACAGAGGACATGTTGGGGGATGAGCCAGTGCAGCACTGAAAAAACTTACCTGCCGGGCTGTGGAGTCCCCTCCCCAACTCCTCCATGCTGCTTTGGAATAGAACACAGCATCCATCATACCCCAAGCATGGCCTCCTGAGAGACACAGCATGCTCATGACCCTAGCACAGCAGGAATGGCACAGCAGCAGCAGGCACTGGGAGTGCAGAAGGCCCTAAGCCCCCTTGCTACCAAGCTCTCTTCCCAGACCAGCCTGTCCCGAGACTGCAAAGCCCTATCTCCTTCCCATCAGGAGCTCCATGTCCAAAGAGGTGATGTTTCATTGGGCTACACATACAGCTCCAGTCTGTGCATGCACACTGGCTCAGCCCAAGCTCAGACCTAGCTGGGTGCCGCTGCCGTGGAGAACAGTCATGATGGAATGGGCCTCACAGGCCCACCACCTGCACTTCTGCAGACCTGCAGGTTAATTCTCTGCTGCTGAACTGCTCCATCAGCTGCTCCCCAGCACAGGACACATACCATCAAGCTCAGCCCACAGCTTCAGTCCATGCAGAAGTCAGCATGACCAGGCCTCCATCCTGGTCCAGGATGGGACATCAGGGAAATCAGTGGGAGGAGAGGGACATCTGAGTCCCATGTGAGAGGCATGTCTGGACAGGCTGGCCTCAGGAAAGACTGGCAGAAACAGAGTAAGAAACATCTCTGGGTGCATCCTGGGAGTCAGCATCTGTACCCTAAATCTCTGCTGCAAAATCTGGACTGCATGGTCTGTTCCTCCACCACTCAACCCTCTTTTCACTTGAGCTCTCAGTGGATAGAGCAGAGAAAGACCAGGAAGCTTCTCCCTTGGTTCCATGCAGCTTTCCTCCATGATCCCACCATGCCCATGGCCCGAGCAGCTCCCCTTGCATGGGGCACAGAGGAGACAAGACAGGGTTCATCAGAGAGATCCCTGAATAGAAGCAGCAGCTCACCACCTACCCAGATAAGGTTTCACTGACATTATCATCTTCCTCCTCCTCCTCCTGGCAAGCAAACAAACAAAAACCCTCCATGACATCTCACTGCATGGGCAGGTCTCTGCCAGAAGTGAGGCCGGGCTGCTCTGGCCCCTTCACAAAACAGTCACTGCCCAGGCACTGTACAAAGGTTTCCCACAAGCAGCAAGGCAGACTGGAATGCTGGGCTACCAGAACCCTCTGGGCTTGGGCACACAGGGACAGACATGCCATAGCTCGTCCCATGTCCCCTCCAGGTGCAAGGCCCCAAAGACAAGCTGTAAGCATAGACCACGCTGACAGAGCTGCTGACACGGCGCACCTCTGCCCAGGGACAGTGGTGGGTGGGCACACCCTACAGCTGGAGGGGCAGGCAGAGATTACGAGAAGCAGGCTGCACACAGGTACAACCCCAAGCACTGCCAGGCTGGACTCACACTGGAAGCATGAGGCCAAGGACCAAGTATCCAGAAGTTCCCAGACAGGGACATAGTGAGACCAGTATGACAATGCTCCAGTTGCTGTGACCATGCAGGAGGTGCAGTGCAGATACGCTGGGCTGAACCTTAGCCCAGGCTGGTAAGGTGATGATCCAAGGATCCTCTGCTTCAGAGGCAGCTCTCACCCCAGCTATGAAACCAGGTGTGCAGCCCAGGTTCCTGTGTGACCAGGCCAGCAGAGCAGGGCTGAGGCTGCAGCAGTGCTGGGCCTGACAGCAGAGCTCCTGGAGCACAGACACCACAGAAATGCATCTGCCGTGTGAGCCACACAGCACAGTGCACCTCCTCACATCAGGCTGCCATGTGCGATGGGGGCTGTGCAGCTATCGTCAGGGCTCTGGGAGGGCAGGAGCAGGGATCTGCAGAGGGGTCACTCTGTCCCTGCCCTAATTCCAGACAGCCCTCGGCATGGGCCTGACTTGCACATACTGTACCCCAACATGGTGTGTGAAGGCAGCACTCCCTGGGGGGGCTGGTTCATGGGCTCTGCCGGCCTCACTGCTCTCCAAGACACATGAAGGGTGAAGGGGCTGATCCTGCCTAGAGCCTGGGACAGGGCAAAAGCAGCAGAGTTAGTGCCTGCAACCTGCAGAAAACCCAGCTGGGAATGTACGGGCAAAACTGTGGGTCAGGAACAGGGAATCCCTGCTGGGCTGGCAGGAGGGTGCAAACAAGGGTGAGGGGTCACTGCTCAGGCCCGGTACCACCAGCCCTGAGCTGGGCTACAGCTCAGGCAATGTACAGCAGTTCAGCACAGAGAGCAGCTACACCTCTCACCCCAGCCAAAGATGGGGGAGTGGCAGAGAACACAACCATAAGGACAACATTCTCCCTGCCTGGTGTGTTTCACCAGCCAGGCAGCAAACCATCTCCACTCCACACAGCCCAGGACAGGGTCCCACACCAGAGACACTGATTCCAGAGCTATGCAGAGAGATACATCTGAGAGATTCCTCCTACCTGCATGTGTTGCTTCCCAGAGATCCAGTGCCATCTGAAAGGCCTGGGCCACAGTCAGAGTCACAGCCTGGGCCTGTGTACATGAAGGAGAGGGAATGCCTGCTTCCACCTGGGTCCTCAATCCAGGATAACCCCACTGCCATGAAATCCGAGACCCCCCCAGCATCGCTTCACTTTTTTTCTCTGCAGAGCACATAGATGGAAGGCCAGAGCTCAGTTCTGTTTCCGTCTGCCTCTGGGGCCAGCCTCCCCCAAGAGCAAACCCTCAGGAGCTGGGACAGGAACCCTTAGGAGCTGGAACAGGAAATCCCTCCTTTGCTCACTGCCTTCCACTGCAGCACATGAGCATACCTGCTCCCTGGCTCCAAAACTAGCTGAGGCCCGCAGAGGTAATGGCATTCTCTTGCTGAAGGAAAAAAAGCAGGCCCTTCCTCCCACCCATACCTCACAGAGCCACAAGCAGAAGGTTAAGTGCTTACAATCTTCTTCTTGGGTGAGAGGAAGGCATGGCACTCCAGTGCCCCGCTCTCCTGGCTCTGGGCAACATAAGCAAAGACTTTGTTCTGCAGCTTGTCTGTTGTGCAGTAGGAGATCCTGTGGGCAGAGAGGAGCTGTCAGGCCAGTCTGGGACCCTGGCATGGCACTTCTGCTGCACTCCCAGCACATCAGCAAGCACTGCTGACAACCTGAGGCTTTCACCTGCCTGAGCTGACCAGGCAGCCCAAACCCCCAGCAAGGGCCAGAGGCTGTCTGGTACCTGCAGCAGGTAAGAGATTACTGCTTCCACAGGCACTCCCTCCTGTGCCATCTCAGAGTGCCCTGCAGTTTTCTGATGTCCAATCCAGTGTGTGAACTCAAGCACTGGGACAAGAGGAACACAGAAGGGTAGGTGACTGCCTCCAAGGACACAGCTGGAGGCCAGGCAGAGGGATGTCTGACCTGGCACATCAGCTCTGGTGCTAAGACCTACATTTTTCAGCAAAGAGATGTTCTGTTTCTGCTTCCCATCAAGCCACCAGACTGCACATTTACTGTCCCTCACACCCACCACCCACAGACACCCAACCCAGCCAAGGACAAGTGGCAGCAGGAGAAATCAACCTCAGTTCTCACAGTAACTGCCTTTAGGCTGCCCAATAAGCTGCAGTCAGAAGGGTGGTCCCATGGCAGTGGAGGCAGACATGCAGTTCTGTGCTAACTGTGGGGCTTTCCAATCACAAGCCTCAAAATCCTGCTGAATGCCAGAAGAGAGAGGCAGGGTACAGGGAGATCATGGATGGGCCGGTGAACTCAAGACCACCTGGGACCCTGCCTACACTCAGCCTCAGGCAGTGCTGGGAGCACAGCAGAGAGGGCATAGGCCTCAGGGAGCCAAAGAAAGACCTAAGTTTGAAGGTACTGCTGACAGAAGACCCAGCCCACCCTGGCTGCTCAAATGCCCATCAGTCTTCAGCTAGCTGCTGGGGAACACCCAGCCCATACCTGTGACATGCCCACCTGTAGATAGAGATGTTCTCCACCATCTCCTTAGTGTCTGCATCCTGCAGTGAGATGCCCCTTGGGGACACTGTAAGAATCACCTTCTGAAACTTGCGAGCTCCGACTCGTGCCTGGCAGTGGAAAAACACCATCAATCTCTGCAAACCTGGCAAGAGTCTTCACCTCACCCCCTCACTGGAAGGAGCCCTGCAGACTCTGTACAGTACCACTCACATGGATACTTGCTGCTGTATGGATGGGACAGCAGAGTCTGGCAATCAGGCATGCCTTGCACAGAACACTCTTTAAATGTGTTCACTCCACTGCCACACACTCAGGAAGGGACAGACCCCACCTCTCCCAGTACTTCACCTTTCTCTCCATGCCATGGCAGGGCACAGCTCTGCTCCCAGCCAGGTTCGGGTGTGGGAGCAGGTGGCTGGGGCTGTCCTGCAGGAAGACAGCTTCCTCAGAGCACACAGGCAGACACCAGTAGCTTCCTGCATGCCAGCCTCCTCTTGGGAAGGGCACAGTCCCTCAGTGGAGCTCAGGGCTAGGGCACAAACACTTCGCAGTGCAGGGAGTGCAGGGGCTGGACTCTGACCCCACATGCCAGGGCCCCAGGACCAGGTCTCACCGTGGCCACAATCCTGCGGATGGCAGCAGCAGCCATGTCTTCTCCTTTTGGTTTTTCTACCAGCGTCATGCCCAGATACTTGAGAGTGAAGCACATTCCCTCAAGCAGTGGCTCCTGCATATCGGCCCAGCTCTCAGGAAGCTCTGCAAAGAAAAAAGCTCTTAGAAGCCATGTGCCAGCAGCCCCACAGCTAGTCCTGCCAGAGGCACCCCACCCATGGCTCCTAGCAGCAGTGTTGCTCCTGTCCCTAGCAGGACATTCTCCTGGCTCTGTGACACTCTCATAAAAGGAACAGAAGGAGTGGGCAGTTCACCCTTGAAGCCTTAGTTCTCTAGCCCTGGAAGTCCAGGCTCTGTCAGCACTGACAGACAGCTCCTGCATCTCTGCACAGGGCTGAGGATGCTGCAGCCCTCATTGCTGTCTGCAAAACCTTGCGTTCCTGGGTTTCATATGTTTCATTACAAACAAAATGTTCTCTGTAATGCATTCATCTCTGCTACCTGAGCTGCTGGCACACCTGAAAAGCAGCAGCATTCACTGCCACATTCAGATCAAAATCCCCAGATTGGCCCCATGTAAGCAAAGCCAAACCCCTTGGCATCTCATCTGCAGCATCAGGTTGCCAGGGCAGGGGCAGCTTAGTCAGCTCTTGTGATCTGAGCTGGGGTGACTGGGAAGCAACTGTACCACAGATGCTTTGTTAAGAAAGAGATGGGAATTGCCAAGATATGTACTGCTCACACTAAGCTAATACTTTTCAGGGTTATTTTCACCTCTTCCCTGGGATTTGCTCCCTAAGTATTACTGGCACACTTGCAGAAGGGTCCAACTCATAATTGGAATAATCTGAACCCACAGGGAAATCAGGAGACCTTATTTCCACAGCATATTCTTGCACAAGTGACAACTATCAGGGAGGCTGCCTGGTGCCATGCAGGCACCAGTGACTTCCACCCCAGGCAGCAGGACCCTGTGTCACTCGAAACTCTGAGGACAGTCCATGTATACCAGGGCTGCCAGGGCAAGTGCTGCTGCTCCAGCAAAGCCTTGTGTAGCTGACTGAGAACAGCCAAACATGGCCCTCCTGTGCCACAGGGTGACTCCAGGGTCATGGAATCCTGGAGCAGTTTGGGTGGGAAAGGACCTTAAAGCTCATCCAGTTTCACTCCCTTCCACTAGACCAGGTTGTTCCAAGTCCCGTGCAACCTAGCCTTACACTTCCAAGGATGTGTCCATGGGTGGGTCTCGGATCCTGCCAGGCCGCAGACAGTGCGGGCTGGCACACTGGCAGAGGACCAGGCGCGGCAGCCCGAGGGGCCCAAGACCCGCGGAGGCCGGGACCGTCCCCGATGCAGTCCAGCGCGTTCCAGCGCCTGGCACGGCCGCCCAGGCCCGTCAGCCCTCTGCCGCGGGGGGCCTCGATTCACAAGTGGGGCAGGAGGCGACAGCCCAGGGAGCGGGGCAGGGCGGGCTCGGCCAGAAGCTGCAGCGCTGCGGTGCCCGGGCCGGCAGTGCCCCGGTCCCTTGGCCCGACCCTCTCGCCTCCCCTAACCCGGCCACCCTACGGTCGCTGCCGCCCCCCGGTCCTCCAGGCCCCTCAGACCGCCGTGCAGCAAGCAACGACCGTACTCCAGCCCGACTCCGCCGAGCTGCGGGCTCCCCGCCCGGAGCGATGCCCGGCCCCGACCCCGCACCCGTCCGTACTCACTGCGCCGCCGGCGGAGACCCAGACCGTGCCGGGCGAGGCGCGGGCTCCGCAGCACGGCGCGCCCCGCCGCTCGCAGTGCCTCCATAACGGAGCTTGGATCGAGCCGAGCCGAGCCGATCCCTGCCCGTGTGGGGGGGTCAGTCCCCGCGGGCCCGACGCGCTCGCGTCAGCGCGGCGGAGGCGGCGGAGTTGCCACGGCAGCGGGGGCGGGGCGAGGTGGGCCCGCAGCGGCGGCGGCGGCGGAGCGGTGCTGGGACCAGCTCGACCCCGTGGGACCATCCCCGCCCGGGCCCGGGCCCGGCGGAGGGCGCGATGCAGCTGCGGCACGTGCGGACCCTGCTGGCCCCGCAGGTCGGACCGGACCGGACCGGGCTGGGGGGGGATCAGGCCGCGGGGGATCGGGCCGGGCCAGGCCGGGTCGGGGAGAGCGGCCCTGACCGGCCTGGGGCGCGTAGCGGCGACGCTGAGGCTATAGTGTGACTGCTGAGCCGTGCGTGCCCAGCCGCTGAGCAACGTGTGCCAGCTGAGCTGCGTGCGTCCTCTGGGGCTCCTTCTGTCCCGCTGAGCCGTGTGTGCCCGCAGGACGGGACGGCGCGGGTGACCTGCATGGCCTGGTCCGCCAGCAGTGCCCGCTTCGCCGTGTGCACCGCGGAGCGCGTGGTGCTGCTCTACGACGAGCAGGGCGAGAGGCGCGACAAGTTCTCCACCAAGCCGGCAGACGCCAAGGTGAGTGGACCCGGGCCAGCCGGGCTGGGGATGGGCACGGGCCGGGCAGCGCTGGGGCAGCCAGCCTTCCCACGGTCCCACCGACCCTCTCTGCAGTACGGCAGGAAGAGCTACATGGTCAAAGGTATGGCCTTCTCTCCGGACTCCACTAAACTGGCCATCGGGCAGACAGACAACGTTGTCTACGTGTACAGGATCGGTGAGGAGTGGTGAGTGTGCGGTGGGGTCCAGCATGCTCCATTCCGCCCTGCCATGGGCTCCCTTAGCCTGATCCTTGCCTTGGCACACACTGTATTGCCCATCACCTGACCTGCAGGGAGCCACAAAGGTGCCCGTGGGGCAGCAGGTGAGGTTTCCGCGGCAGGGCCCTTATGGAGCCCAGGCTGTGCATGCAGCTAGCTGGAGCCTGTGTTGCCATCATATGTCACAGCTGTGCAGCGATGGCACATACCTGCCCCACTGCAACCTCATTTGCTGGTAGGAGTTGTGCTAACGGCACTCAGAAAGGCAGTTCACGAGGAGTTTGGAAGCTCAGATGCTGGGGGTCTTTTTGGTTTTTTGCCTAAAGTTGTGATAGACTAGCAGCACTCAGGACTTGAATGGACTGTGTTTAGCACTATCAAACCAGACTGTGTATAAACAGCAGGGTGATCAGAATGTGCAGGGCTGCTGATAGTAATTTTTGTTTATATTTTTCTGCAGGGGTGACAAGAAGGTGATATGCAACAAGTTCATCCAAACGGTGAGACCCAGACTTGTGTTTGACGTCATTTTCTCTGGCATAAGTAGGAAAAAACAATGAGAGGTCTCTGCTCATACTCACAGGTGTACTTGGCCAAACTGTACTTGACCTTTAAAGATCCTAGGAGAATCTCTAAATTCTGAGGCATATATTGCTCATCAGGCTTTGGAGGTGTCCTAATGCTTGAGTATAACAGAGTAAGTTGTTGAACGATCAATGCAATCAGTTACAAACCTTTGGGGACTACTTTAGGCATCAGTGGACAGACTATTTTAAGGGAGTTGAAAGGGAAAAATACGTGACACTCAGACCCCAACTATTTTTCACAGGTTTGCAGCTCTAAACTCCAAGATGCCTTATTAAACAAAATGCAAAGTGTACAGAATTCAAACTGTGCAATTTCCGCACACTCAATTGCTTCAGGTTTGTGATTTCTGTCAGGTTTGTTCCTTGGCCACGTTTGTGTTCTGCTGCTCTGGCTTGACCTGCCTGTGTCAGAAAGCAGTTTGCCCAGTAGGTGTTTGCAAAGGCTTGCCCTGAGATCTGTCTGGAAAAGGCAAAGGTGTTATGAATTCCTTGCACAGAAAGCCATCATAGCGACAAAATACAGTGCACTGACTACCTTCAGAGGCAAATGTCCAGCAGCTGCCCCTGGCTTTCCAGGCAAGTGCCATGACCATAGTCTCTGTGTCACCAAGACAGTTCTCTGCAGGGTAGGAGGAGTCATTCTTCATGTCCAAATCCCCAGAAGACATAGACAGAGCTGTTCCTGATGGAGTTGCTGGAGTCTCTGTGCCAGACTTTCTCAAGCTGTCTCTCAGGTGAAGGGTAGCTTCAGCGTCTCCGTTGAAAGCTTTTATCTCAGAGCTGGGTCATGGCCTGCCACTGTGGCTGCTCTGACTGCTGCAGGGAGCCCAGGGAATTCTGTGTCTCTGAGACAGGAAAGCTGCTGGTCAGCCTCTGTTTTGTCTGCAGTTGCGCTGCTGCACTGAGTGGTCATGAGGAAAAGAGAGCAACAAGGGCTTGGTGTCCATTTGTCCCGTTCCTGAACAGGCTGGCTATCCCAGGTGTGGGCAGCTTTAGCCTCTCTGGAGAGCTCTTTCCTTGTGTACTGCTTGCTGCCTGCCCCTCCAGCTGCCAGCCTGGTGGGGGCCTGCTCACCTCTCACAAGCTCAGATGCTGTATGTGGCACATGCACAGGATTTTGTATTTATGTAGAAGTTCAGTATTTTTTTCTCTCATTTCTCATTTCCCCATGCCTTTTCTACCACTTGTAACACATTAAATCCTTTATTTTTTTCTGATGCTGTATGTCTGGGGTTTTAGCACTGTTCCTGGCTTTCTCACGTAACTAAATACTGTCATTTAAAAATTTTTGAAATGCTCAGTCCATATGAGAGATAGTTTGAGCCCTTTCCCTCTCCTGCCACTGGGCCCTCTCACACACACAGTGATCCCAGTGTGTGATCACACTGGCAAGCCAAGCCTCCTGCTGAGGGCCAGGAGGACAAACAACGAGCACATCACCACTGTGTGAGGCTTGTTCCCAAGCTTTTGTTGTGTTAGAGTGGAAAATAAGTCTGGCAGATAATGAGGGAAACAGGGGTAATTAAAATGGGTCTTGGTCAACGGTTGGACATTTAAATTATGAACAGTTTGGTTACCTTGAGACATTTTGTTGTCTGCTTGTAGCTGTGTTTGCTGATATGAATGATCAGAGCAGGGATAGAGGATGAGATAAATAAATGAGGAATTAATAAATGCTGATATGTATCTTAAGCAGTCCCAGATGCTTAAAATGGGACAGAGATCCAATGAGGCTGGTGCTGATGGCACACTGCCAAACACCAGCCTTCTTACTGACTAAACTTCTGCAGGGTATATGTGAAGAGCTTTCATAAACTTTCTCAGTCCTCTTACAGTTGGGTTTTGTGGTCAACTTTATTCATTCCGACTTCACCTCAGATTTTGAGAATACCTTTGGTTTGGATTTAATGAGCCTGTTTCTACCTGACTACTTGGTAGCATCTAATAACCATCTTACTTGTCAATGAAAAAATATTTCTTATTTATCAAATAAAGATCCAATGGACAAGTATTCTCATAGCTATTGCAGAAGTTGTCACAGTGAAATTATTTTTGTATTTTATACTTGTTGAAAAAAACCTTTTAAAACAGCCATGATTTTATACATTCACCAATAGCATGTGACAAGCCTGGCACTGCTCAGTAAGTAATACTCGCAAAAGAGCTCCAAACTGAACACATCCCTATAACTTTTTTTGCCCTCCTATAGTCCTCCTGTGCTCAATTACTTTGCCGCAGCTCACTTTTATCTAGTTTAAGCTTCAGCACAAAGTAAGGTTTGTCCAGTAGCTTCAGCTACTGTAAGGCCTGTCCAAATGCCCAGTCTGTCCTGCTTGAATTGTGTCTGTTCATGAACTATTTTAGGGTGGCAGTGGGGCAGGAAGCTGGGTAGGATGGAGCTCTTACCTCTCTTTTTACCTCCTCCTTTGCAGAGTGCTGTGACCTGCTTATTGTGGCCAGCAGAGCATATCATTGTCTTTGGTCTTGCTGAAGGAAAGGTAGAGAAACTTGTTATTTTCTTTCCCTTGCAGGGTCTGCCAGGGTCTGCCAATGGCTGTGTTAAGGGGTAGGAGCCATCACTGGATGCCACAGTAACTTCAACAGAGGGATTACACCGTGGACTTGAATTTTCTGGTTCACAGTCCCTGGAGGTTCTATTAGATCTTTTGGATCTTTCTCCAAAATTTTCTAGAAATGCGGAAATGTGACTCCAACTTTTCCACTTCTATAACATACTGGAAGGCAATGTGCTTCCTGTGATTTCTTTCCCTGACAGTGAGCAGGGAAACCTCTGAGAATGTTACTTACACTGGGAGAGGATCCACATTCTACTGGTGAAAGCAACACTGATCATTTTCTCTTTCTCAGGTTCGTTTAGCAAATACAAAGAACAACAAGTCTTCCACCGTCTATGGAACAGATTCCTTTGTGGTCTCACTGACTTCCAAGTGAGTATGGCATTGCTTTGGGCTGCTCTGCTTTGGCTCAGTCTCACACCTGCTGCTGGCATGGCATAACAACGACCAGTATGGGTGTTTACTAGTGTTCTTTTGCTGTCACTTTCTTGTCAAGATAATAACATACTGTGCTCTCCAGAGGGAATTCCTTCCTAAAATCTTGTACCTGGCTGTGCCACACCAGCAGTCTGGTTGTTCTTCAAACACAGTTGAGGATGAAAGTCTCCATGAGCTTACTTATATACTCTGATGTTTTTAAATCTATGACTTTATAAGGACTACATTTGCCAGTTTCATCTAAGTAATAACTAACATTAATCATGTTTAAGGGCTAAAAAAAGTAACATAATTCTGCCAGATAAAACCTTTGACAATTAGGAAAATAACCATAAAGTGCAGTTTAAAATTATTTTAATTAATAAGATTTCATTTCAACTACTTTAGTATTCTTTACCTAAAACTTGAAATGTGTCATGGTCCTAGGAATGGAATTTTCATTCAGTGCTGTCATTCTGGTGACAGATACATGATTGCTGGATTGCTACAGTGTCCATAGAATTTGTATTCTGTTCTTGAATCTTCTAATATTCATTAAAAAGTGTTTCTCTGGGTACATGGTTTTCGACCTGTTTATTT